TAAAACAGCTATAACTAATAAGATATCATTAGAATACAGTATATGTCTTGCCTATAATGTAGGAGAGTATCAAGTTCCATCCTGTGATAAAGGCCCATAGTTCCCCAACAGTCACGTAGCTGTACAAATAAGCAGATCCAGTAAGAGGCACTCGAGCACCAAACTCAGCATAACATAGTCCTGCCAAAACCGAGGCCACAGCTGCAATCAGAAAGGACAGGATGATGCTGGGACCAGAATCCACCTTTGCAACTTCTCCTGCAAGGACATAGACTCCAGCCCCCAGAGTACTTCCCACACCTAGGGCCACCAAGTCTAATGATGATAAGCAACGACAGAGACCCGAGCCCTCAGCTCCCTCTAAAGTTACCTTCTTTCTTCTAGTGAGACTTTGGTAGAAAGAATTAATTAATTTGTGAGGTGGCATCTGCAAGATAAAGAAAAAAACAAGTGCATGGTCAGGAAGGAAAGCATGTTGCATGAATAATTGATAGAACAAACAAATGTTTGTAATTTTGTAGCAAGTTATTCACATGACACATTAACAAAATATGTATTTAGATACTAAAAATAAGATAAAAATAAGATAAAAACATTGGCTTCACATTAAAATCAGGAATATGGCTGAGAACAACCAAGTGACATCTCACTCCAAAAATTAAATGAGTAAGAACTGCCAGCAGTTTAATAGTAATATTAAGCTTGTAATATAGGTTAAACAAGACTTAAAGGACCACTTTAGGCACCCAGACCACTTTAGCTCAATGAAGTGGTCTGGGTACCAAGTCTCCCTAGTTTTAACCCTGCAGCTGAAAACATAGCATCCCTGACATCCACTAGAGGCCACTTCCGCGATCACATTCAACTCATGCTGGACGTCCGTAGGAAAGCTTTGAGTAATGCTTTCCTATGGGCGGTTTGAATGTGTGCGCGGCTCTGGCCGCTCATGCACATTCGGAGCTGACGTTAGCAGGGGGAGAAGAGGGCACCAGCGCCAAGAGAGCCCGGCGCTGGATTAAGGTATGTGGCTGAAGGGGGCTCTGAGGGAGGGGGGGGCCTTACAACACTATAGTGTTCCTTTAAGTCCTTCACCCTTTTTAAATTCCCTTTTGTCCTTCTGATCCAAAAGAAGGAAAGAAAATAAACACCTTAAAAAGAAGAAACCTTTTTTTAAATTTTTTTACTCCACATTGGTAATACGATGTTTCCTTAGATCATGAACCATATTAAATATTATAAGTCAATTTTATTGTACAATGCTGTTAAGAAACAGGTCACTAAAACTCTTTGTCTTGGCCCTGTATATACAATATCTCACAAAAGTGAGTACACCCCTCAAAGTTTTGTAAATATTTTATTATATCTTTTCATGTGACAACACTGAAGAAATGACACTCTGCTACAATGTAAAGTAGTAAGTGTACAGCCTGTATAACAGTGTGAACTTGCTGTCCCCTCAAAATAACTCAACACACAGCCACTAATGTCTAAACCGTTGGCAACAAAAGTGAGTACACCCCTAAGTCGAACTTTTTAAATTGGGCCCAGTTAGCAATTTTCCCTCCCTGGTGTCATGTAACTTGTTAGTGTTACAATAGTACATGTATACTATTGTAATATCGCCTCTGAGTAACTGCAAATTCCCACATTTTACTATTTACATGATGTAAAGTCATGATTTTAATAATGACACGGAGGCGAGTATTATGCCATCTCTTTCTTACTTTAAAAGAGAAAATATGGTTGAAAGAGAAAAAATGTATAATATAAATAATATATAACAGATACAACCAGATCTGCCTAGTAACAGGGCAGCCAATCAGCTTATAGGAACAGTCCATAAATGTCTTTGTGTGTACTTCCACTTCCTCTTCTTTGCCTTCTGAACCAAAGACCCAACAACCGAAGAAACATCCACATCAGGAACGAACCAATCGCCAACATGGTAAACGTCATCACAACAAAATCTGGCTGTAAAAACAGAGAAATAGGTGGTAAAATCCAAACTCCGGATCTGTATGTAACATATCATAACAATTCAGTATGTAACAATATATATAAAATATCGATTATACCATATATACCTGTAAAAAGACCATACCATATCCCAGAACAACAAGTGAAACCATGGACACTTACCGTGAGATAGAATGTCCTCCCGACTGAACTAAAATTGGAGACCCAGCACCTATCCACCGGGTGGGCGGGTGGGAATAATACTCGCCTCCGTGTCATTAATAAAATCATGACTTTACGTCATGTAAATAGTAAAATCTGGGAATTTTATTAATGACACGGAGGCTCCTATTATGCTAGTTCAAAGCTGAGCCACAACTAAAGAAAGAAACATGGTCAATCGGGCGGAAATAGAAGCAAAGAAGCAAAGAACTATGTTAACATCCCAAAACAAGGAGTATCTGGATCTCGGGGGTCTAGAGAAATGGATACCCTTCAACAATCGGCACAAAAAGGGATGTTGTCCAACCGGCGATCCGTCAATCCCTAGATGTCCGGCTGAAATGGCCGATCTATAAACATTAACAGTGTGTTAGGCCAAATCAGATTTAAAAAGCATGGTCAGAAAACTGAGCACCTCCTTCAAAAGGGCAGAAAGTGGATCCAACAATCTTCCCACGCACCAGCCAGACCACACGCGCCATGCGGATTTGTAAGGTGTTCTGGTTCCCGGTGCCCAGGCACTCTCCAGGAGTCTTGTAGTAGCTTGCGGAATGTCCACGACGGACCAGGATCCCCTGAAATCAACCAAGCCATGTGCTGGAGCAGGTCCTGATCCACTAATTCCTGCGAGTTCCCATCCGGATCCAGAAGCACATCCGGTCGCATTGCAATCATCCGTGGGAAATCCATCGTCATCTCCAGGAGACGAGAGAACCAAGGTTGAGTCTGCCATAGGGGAACCACTATCACCAATGTGCAATCTTGTCTGGACAGGTACGCCAGTGTCCGAGAAATCAGTTTGAATGGGGGAAACGCAAAGTGACGACCCCGAGGCCATGTTTGCAGGAAAACATCCACCGCCATGACCGATGGGTCCGGTCTCCAACTGAAATATTGGGGCAGTTGGGAGTTTAGTCTGGATGCGAACAAATCCAGTTCCAACGGACCCCATAACCGATCTATCTGTCGAAAGGTCGAAGGGAGCAGATGCCAATCCCTTGAGTCTTTCAAGCAGCGCGAATTCCAATCCGCCCATTCATTGTCCAGTCCCGGGATGTGTTCGGCAGTAACCGACCCTGCGTTGTGGAGGCAAAACTGCCAGAAGTCCTTTGCCAGGTTCGCTAGCTGTTTTGATTTCGTGCCAACCAGATGATTTATATATCTGACCGCGGACACATTGTCCATGCGCAGAGGAATGCAGCAATTTCCCAGAGTTGGAGACAGGCTGCAAATGGCGAATGACCCCGCCAGCAGTTCCAGACAGTTTATGTGTAGCCTTGACTCGACTTCGGACCATCTGCCACCTGTGGAGACATTTCCACAACGAGCGCCCCAACCATGTAGGCTGGCATCCGATTCTATCATGACGTCCAGAGCGGATCCGAAGATTGCGGGGCCGTTCCACGCCTCCATATGGTCTAACCACCACAGTAGTTCTTCACTGGAATCCCTGTCCAGGCTCAATTCGCTTTCGTACGAACTGCCTGACCGAAGATAGGATCCCTTCAAACGTTGTAGGGCCCGATAGTGTAGGGGTCCTGGAAAAATTGCCTGAATCGATGAGGCCAAAAGACCAATCACTCTCGCAAGTTGTCATACGGAGAGAGAGGTGGCCCGTAGTGTACGTCTTATTTCTTTTTTTTCATAGCCTTTAATTTGGTCTATGGAAGGAACATGAATTGGGCGATCGAGTCGACTTTGAAACCCAGGAATTCTATCTTTTGTACCGGGGTCACTATGGATTTTTCCCAATTTATGAGGAAACCTAAACCTTCCAGGAGATTCACCGTCCAGTCCAGATGTCGTAGGAGCTGGTCTGGGGACGAAGACATAATCAGGATGTCGTCCAGGTAAGTAATCATACGGACCCCCCGAGCCCTGAGGAACGCAACTACCAGCTTTGTAAGGCACCAGGGAGCGGAAGATAGACCGAAGGACAGACACGTAAAGTGCAATAAGTCCCAGTGCTCCTCTGCCACTGGTATGGTCAAATAGGCATCTTTGAGGTCCAGCTTGACTATCAAGTCCCCTTGACAGAGCAGGTCCCTGAGGCAATGAATGCCTTCCATCTTGAAGTGATTGTAACAGAGAAATTCGTTGAGGCGTTTGAGATGTATGGCCGGTCGAACTCCTCCGCCCTTCTTGGCAACGAGGAACAAATTGCTTAGGAACCCCGGGGTCTCGTACGGGACTTCCTGTATTACCTGTTTGGCATGAAGTTCCGCGATTTCCGCAGTAATCAACCCGGACTGCTCTTCAGGCAATCTCAGTTCCTGTGGTATACACATCTGGAAAGGTGGGGACAAAAGATCTAGGCGGAAACCCCTGACTGTATTCAAAACCCACACATCTGTGGTGATCATGCCCCACATATCGATAAATAAAGCTAGCCTGCCCCCCACGCTTGCATGGGAAAAAACACATTTGGGGGTACTTACCATAAGGACGTCTGTACGAGGGCTGACAGCGTCCTGCTCGATTCTGCCATGGTCTTCCATGTGAGGGGAAGAAGGGAGTGGGCTTGTATTCCTGGTAGGCCCAAGGGGCAGCAAAGGAACCTCTGTGAGTCCGTGAGGGACCTTGAGCTCCACGGCCAGGCGGACGGCTCCTATACCTCCCGGCCCCCTTGGAAAACCTTTGGGCCAAAAACTAGTTTCAAGCTGGACTGGGCCTTATCTAGGGCGGTGAAGGTGTGCACAAAGGAGCCTAGGTCCTTAACAAAGGACTCACCGAAGAGCATGCCTTTAGCGGCAGCACCCGGTTCCTTCACCGCTAGGTTTACCAATTTTGGCTCAATCTTGAGCAAGATCGCCTTGCGGCGTTCAGCAAATCAGTCTTTGGACCCATCCGATTGCTTCATCAAAATTAAGGGGGATGCCCCCTGCCTTAGCCGCCTCCAAGAGTTCATAAAGCTTGGCAGCGGGACCCAGGGTGTCCAAAATTTTGTCCTGGCAATTGTGGAGTGAGAACTCCAGTTCCTTTCTGGGTTTCCAGACAGTTTTTGCCAGGAACTGCGTAATTTGGGGGTCAACCTCTGGCGTCTTGCACACCGCATCAGGCACTGAGGGCCTTGGGCATTCAGCCCGTAATTTGCTGCACCCTTCCTTGGACAGAGGAGTGCACATACGTAGAGCTAGGTAGCTAGCTATGTGCTCGGGCGGGTCCCATTCCGCCGAGCGAGGATGGCGTAGGTCATCAGGATCGAACAGGGGGTAACCCTGCGGATCACATATGCCTTGCCCCCCACCCGGAGGTAGCGCCGAAGCATCAGACCCTGCCTCAGCGTCGGAGCCCCCTTCCTCATAAGAGGCGTAATCAGGGGCGTCCGAATCCGTCTCCCCACTCAGATCGGAATCTGATCCTTCGTTAACATGGGCACGCGCCCTTTTCCACTTTCTGGCCGATTTTGCCCGGCCAGCGGCTCTCTTGCGCAGTAACGCGCGATCTTGGACGGCCATAGGCATGTCAGTCAGGGCAGGTAACACATGTGTCACATTGGGAGAGATGTGTTTCGTTTCAGCATGCACCTTGCGACTCGCCTGAGGCTGTAGCGCAGGCTGGGGGTTGGGCATCATAGAAGGGGCCAGGGGTTGAGTCAACGCCTGCTGAATAGTATGAGACAGGGACGAAGACACCGTCCCCATGGCCGAGGCCAGGGCCCTCTGGTGGAATCAATGATGGCCTGGATCTCTAGAGAGGGAGTAAGGCCAGTCTCCCCAGTGATAGGGGTTTGCATGGGATCCATAATGGGGTAATTGGGGCTGTCAGAGCCCTCACCTCTAGCCTGCAGAATAGGTGCAGGGGGAGGCACACACCACATGGAGGAGGATGCAAGCATTGTGGGGGAGAGGGACTGAGAAAGCTGATGGCAGACTCCCATCAGCCTGGGCCAGCAAGCTCCCACTGGACCCCAGGGAAGCCACCTTTCTGTACCCAAAAGATTATCACACATGAATATTATTTAATTGGGGGGCGTGGCCAAGACTCCGGCGAGACTGGCAGCACAGTAACGGAGCTCCGTGCCGGACAGGAGAAAATCAGCAACCCCCCGGTCGTATAAGCAGCAATGGCGACAAAAAAAGCGCGTAACACAGCGGGGAGTACCCCATCGACCGTCATCCCGCCGGCAAAGTCCTCTCTGAGGAGGTTCTTTGCCGACCAAACGGAGGCACACCAGACATCCAAAATGGCGCCTGCGGCCCTCACACGCGGCAGCCAGCCTCCCAGCCCAGCTCCATCAGAGGGCTCAGAGGACGAATCCGACATCAGGGCATTACTCACACGGCTGCCCTCTAAGAAAGACCTCACAGACATGTTCCAGAAATTGGAACACTCCTTTGGAGAGAAATTGCAAGTAATCACAAATGATGTACAGCACCTAGGCGCCAGAGTACAGAGTCTGGAGGATGCAGAGGAGACACATGATCGCTTATGGGCAGACTCCCAAGCCATACAAACCCAGCATACAGACGCTATAGCCTACCTCCAAAGAAAATTGGAGGATATAGACAACAGGGGAAGGCGGAACAACCTGAGGGTGAGGGGAATCCCAGAGGGCCCGGAAGACGCCACCGAAAACCCCATCAAGGTACTGACCGCCCTCTTTAACCAGGTCCTCAACAGACCAACTGATACAGCTATACAATTTGACAGGGCCCACAGGGCAGCACGGCCCAGACACTTACCAAAGGATATGCCCCGCGACCTTATATGCCGCATCCACAACTTCCCTCTGAAAGAGGAAATATTCCATAAGGCCAGACAAAATAAGGCCTTAAAATACGAGGGACACCCAGTGGCAGTTTTTCAAGACCTCTCACCGGCCACATTACAAGCCAGACGGGCTCTTAAGCCGATTACATCAGCCCTACTTGAAAAGCAGATCAAATTCCGTTGGTCCTTCCCATTCGCCCTAACAGTATCTACTAACAGCGGAACCCACACTATCACTACGCCGACGGACGTCCCTGATTTTCAGCAGGCACTGGGGCTACCCCAGGTCGCAATTGAAGATTGGACAGGTCTTTCCAATTGCAAACCAGCACCGCTCCAGCAAAGACCCACATGGCAGAGAACACCTAGAAAGCGGAGGAGGCAGCCTCAGACTAGGACCGAGACCCCTAGCAAGACCAGAGGCGATGAAGCCTGATGACGGCTGTGGACGCTCTCAGATATCCTTTGCTCTAATCTCTCATATACTAAAAATGTTTATGGCTTATCTTGTTTTACATGCTAATGTTACGTTTAGATATAATTCTCTATATTATCAATGCCGCCAATGACCTTCAATGATTCATATTACACTGACCAATAGGGCCCATGACCCACAAGTATATGATTATATCACACTAGGGTGCCCAGGGGGAGCCCGGAACCGGGTACGTTACAAGGGACACTGACCCTGGCCCCGCATGGGGAACATGTTATGATCTCATTGAGTCCCAGGAACCCACTCCTTCCTCCTAACCAGGACCTGTCCAGACAGACAGAACTCCACCTCCCCACAGAGAAGCGCTTAACCACTAACTTGGGGACACGACTTAGTCTCCCACAAGTTCAGCGCCACCTCTTTGTACATATGTTTATTTTTTCTTGTTTCTGTGTATATAGTTTCTGTTCCCCCACACTCACCCCATACCCCTCTACTGTCGCACGCCTGGCCATGTGGGCCCAATTCCGTATAAAACGGCACAAACGACTGCCTCACTATGATGGCGCAAATTAAGCTAATGTCCCTTAATGTGAGGGGCCTTAACACCCCGGAAAAACGCAGCACGCTGGCCCAAGAGATCGACAGACAGAGGGCAGACATTACATTCATTCAGGAAACGCACTTCAGGGGAGAAGCTCAACCTAGAATCAGAGCTAAACACCTCCAACAATCCTACCACAGCAACTATGGGAAAAGCAAATCTAGAGGGGTAGCGATTTTAGTAAACGCACGGGCGGCCCTCACAGACACCACAGTGAAGGCAGACCCAGGTGGGAGATTCCTGTTTGTCAAAGGGAAATGTCTAGGCACGCAGATCACATTGGCCAATATATATGCACCAAATACAGAACAAGGCTCATTCGCCCGAGCCTGCTTAAACAAACTAGAGGCCTTCGCAGAAGGAATGGTGATTGTGGGAGGGGATTGGAACATGGTATTAGACCATTCGATAGACAGCTCCACCCACGCCTCGGACAAGAGGCGACACCAGCGCACACTACTGGCGAACGCGCTTTTTGCCCATCAACTGATGGACTGCTGGCGTATAGTACACCCACAAGACAGGGACTACACCTACTACTCACAAACCGCTCACAGCTACTCTAGAATTGACATGTTCCACCTAAGTCATAGGTACCTCCCAGCACTTAAAGAAGCAAGCATTGGCAATATCACATGGTCGGACCATGCCCCGATTTTCCTAACTCTCACACTACTTACAGCTCCTACACAAAGCCCACAATGGCGTCTCAATGAGACCCTCCTAGATGACTCGAGAGTAATAGAGGACATACGGACGACACTTCGCCATTACTTCTCAGAAAACTCTACTATAGACGTAACCGACGCATGGGTGTGGGAGGCACACAAAGGGGTGATAAGGGGTATCCTGATTAAATGGGGTTCTAGGATCAAGAAGGAACGAGCACAAAAGCAGACAGACTTGACACTAGCCATACAGGAACAAGAAACACTGCACAAACAGACCCCCACGCCAGAGATCTTCCACATACTGACAGGTCTCCGAATGGAACTCCGTTCCCTCCTATCCCTAAAAGCACATAGGGCTGTCCAGATGACGAGAGGATCTTTCTATGCGCTAGGGAATAAAAGTGGGAAACTATTAGCGCGAGCACTGAAGACTAAGCTCCAAAAATCTTTTATAACTCACATTAAAAACGGACAGGGGAAACAATGTAACACCACTGACGAAATAGCAGACGCATTTAGCAACTTTTATCACAATCTTTATAACCTCACACCCCCCACAGGCACCCCCTTAGACTTACAGGACTACTTAAGGGCCAATATACCACACAAGGTTCTGCCCGTGGCGTCCCAGGCTCTTTTTTTCAATTTACAATTTTCTTTATTTTTCAAGTTATTTCCAATAAGGAAAAATAAACAACAACAGCAACAACAAAAAAAAAAGGGGGACTACAGAAAAAAGAAAAAGGGGTTTAGGGTACAATCAGTAGTGTTACATTGTTTCATCATATACTCATCATACAATGTTATGCTATACTCGTACTACATTTAAATTCATTCTATAATGTATACATCCTGACCACATTTATTTTATTTTCCCTGATGAATACTGGTGTGTCCACTATAAAGTTCCCCTCAGAAAAAAAAAAAAAATATTATTCTCTCCTCTCTTCCTCTCCGGTCTTCATATGTTTAGGTTATAATCACAATAAAAGCTAATATTTAATTTAGCTGCTTAATGTTGTCAAAATACATTAAGTTAAATCAAGTGTTAAATTAAATTAAATGTCCTGCTTATTATATATGTCTTATGTTCGAGCCCAACCAAGATAAGTACAAAGACTCATTTTAACACCTCATATACGCTCAACGTATATAATATGCCACCGCTCACTTATATTACAAAGGTTCAATCCCGAAGGGCTGGGCCATTTCGTTTATTTCTACTGCGTTGGATTCTAAGTAATATTTCTGATAGTAACCATAGAGAAAATAAGTTTAATTTATCATATCCTATACTAAATACATACTCCACATATCTATTAAACTTATTTTGTTATTATCTTTGTATATAAGTTTTCCAACAATTAGCTACTTTTAAGCTTAACTTCCCGCTTTTAGTCTGATCCCACATGATAAGCTCATAGTCTATAGTCAGAGACATTAATGTTTTGATTTCATCTATTGTGGGTAAGCTTGTAGTCTTCCAGTTTCTCGCTATAAAGATTGAGACTATAGATAATAATAAAAAGATTAATTTACGCGTAGCTTTAGGTATATGGTCCGGAAAAGCTTTGAGAAGTAGCATTTTTGGTGTGTGGTCTAGCTTATAAGATGTCACCTCTTGGATCATTATTTCAACCTCTCTCCATAAGCTATTAACTCTTTCACATGTCCACCAAATATGAAGCATAGTTCCTTTATGAGACTGGCATCTCCAACATATATCTTGTGCATCAGAGTACATTGCATGAATACGAGTAGGTACCATGTACCATCTGTATAAGATTTTCCGTGCTATTTCAAAGTGTCCTATACATGAAGACATTCCCAAATGTGCCGTAAAAATGTTCTTCCATTCATCATCTGATATAATTTCTTGAATATCAGATTGCCAATCTATCATAAATTTTGGTATTACTGTTTCTCTTGAATTTATTAGAATATTATAGCAAAGTGATAGTACTTTCCTAGGTGGAGTTAATGCTATGCACATCTCTTCAAATTTCGTGACTAACGTTCGGGTTGTTCGGTGTCCTGCATATAGATTATTATTGGCCAAAAGACCTTTAATCTGCCAATATGCAAATTTAAATTGTGGCGGAAGTGTAAATTCTGATTGGAGAGTCGGGAAAGACTTTAACCCCTCTATAGTATAAAGTTTAAAAAAATGTGTAATTCCTTTTCTATGCCATTGTGAATAAGGAAATGTTTCGTTACAGC